GAAATTGCTTACTAGCTTGGTTTTTGGTACGCCCAATTCGTAATTTGAAAATTGGACTGTTCCTTTTGTTAACAACCATGTATTTTGCCTTCTTGCTGGTGGTGTTTAGTCCTTTCTTCTCCCTTTCCTTCAATATCTTCAGAAAGAATTTTTGTAGTTTCATTCACTACCTTATGAAAGAATTCTTGTAGTGCATTTTTCCGTGTTTCATTTCTTTGTCTTAATGCTTTGTTAACATCTAGATGACATTGTTATCATCTGGCAGATATTGTCAACTTTTAGAACAGATTGTTACCATCTGGTAGATATTGTTAACATCTGGAAGACATTTTTCACTATTTCAGTGCGCCTTCGTATTTCGGTATCAGATTTCCTGTTTTCTGTTAACACAGACAGATATTTAAATTTATGTACTTGCTTGAATTTAACACCTCCAATTTGTAGCTGGAATCTTGTGTTTTTCATTTTGCTAACAGCAGATACATTCTGTTTTCTTACAACTGGTGGCTAGTCCTTTCTTTCCGCTTTCCTTTACTCGCTTTTCTCGGAGTTCCTTCAGTCTTCAGCCATCAACACTGTTTTACATACATATCTTATGTTGTCGAGATTTTGGCTACCCTCGTCCTGGGTATGACGATAAACTACATCCGCGTCCTGGGTAAGACGATAAAATACGTCCAACAGCAAGACATCTGATCAGGTTTTGAGGAGCGTGGAACCATCTCTTAGTTGCTAGTGTTTTCAGGTACACCCTGACCTGGGTTGGTAGCACCTGTTAGGGTCCCAGCTATGGGCAAATAGTTAACACCCAAACTTATGTAAAAATAGGTTTTAATACTAGGAATAGTTTATAATAAAAAAATTATTCCCAACAATAATTTTTGAAGGAAAAATTATTATCAGCAATATTTAAAAAAAAAATACCAGCAATACAAACAGTTATACGTTCTCTGAAAAAAAATATGACCAGCTATAGATTTCTTCAAGGAAAAATATTCTCAGGAATAGATTTTCGAAGAAAACCATATTACCAGCAATAAACATTTTGTCAGCATTAAATAACCCGTAGGAGTTCATTTGACGTAAAAGAAACCACACCAAACCAATTTTAGCTACCAATAATAAATCCTGATAGGATTCCGTTCTCGTTAGGGTTGCCACGCTGTTTTTTTGGGTTTTTTTGTTTTTTTTTTTTTTTTTTTGTTTTTGTTATGGCTCTTGATTCCTTAATTCAGTAGCAATGGTTTGCATTTCATAACTGCCATATAAGTCGGCCCCTAGTTTTGGAACGAATTTTTTTCTTTTTTTTTTTGTTATGCCTCTTGATTCCTTAGGGAACATAGGGTCGCAGCAACGCCCCTCCAATGGATGCGGTTCCGAACGATCCTCTTCAGCTCAGCGCATGTCGTGCCGGCTGCCTTCACCTCTGCGTCGACACTTCTGCGCCAGGTCTGTTTTGTTCGACTCACTTTTCGCTTCCCTCCTGGATTCCAGTGAAGTGACTGCCTGGTGACACTAGAAGCAGGTGTGCGGAATGTGTGGCCGATCCATCCCCATTTCTCTTTCTTGATGCTAATCTCCAGTGTTGCTTGTCGATTGGGGCCTGTCTGGGTCATGCTGTTGAGGGTAAGTAAAATACGAGAAATGTTGAAACTGCTAGATAAATTTGACATCGTCGACACCCGCTAGCATCCGAGCATCGAGATCCTCATTCTCCGTTCTTATTCCTTTTATCTCTTCTGGTATCCATGACAGAGATGCCTGTGAAGGCCCAGTGTACTCTTGAAGAATCGTGAGCCGGATACGCCGAGAAGGCCGAAATGCAGCAGCAGTTTCCCCAGGTATCAGTGTCGATTCTGGCCTGTGTCAGGGATGTTTTCAACTGATACTTGAAACGTCGTATTGGGCCTCCGCTTACCGCTCCAAACAGGACGATACGTGGGAGTCTAGTGAGACACATCCTGGATACGTGACCTTCCCTGCAGACGCCATGTTGAAGGATGGTACCCTCGATGCTGGGGAGAGATATCCAAGAGAGGACCTAGTTTTTGGTGATGCGGTTTTCCCAACTGATGCGAAATTGTTTATCTACTGTAGGTAAACAAATATTTATGTAATACATATGTTTAGGTAAATAAAATTAGTCGTCGGCACCCGCTCGCATCCGAGTATTGTGATTGTCTCTCACCTAATCCCCTTTCCCGCACTGGTGTGGGTGACGGAGATGCCTGTGAAGGCCCAGCCTACTCCTGAAGATGTATGAGCAGGGGTCACAGGGCATTGTGGGTGGTGGATGCGGCAGAGAAAGTCGGGCCCTCCTGACATTATATTGGTATTGGCGGATCCTCTTCATGTTGCCTTTTGGACATGAAAGTCGCCCCGACCACACACACCGTACCAAGTCACCTCCCCTTAGACGCCGTCAGTGGTCACTCTCTAACTCAACTCTCCTCACACCACATATAAGAATTTTTTTCAGATGAACACAACAATTATTGACTTTCACAATAATGAACACTAAAATATTTATCCTGTAATAAATAATACTCTGATGATGACATTGCGCTATGTCGAAAGTACTTGGAAATAAACAAAATATGTATAAAATAATGGCACCAAAAAGCTTATCCGTGAATATGAAAGGATCCTATCAAAGATAAATTTTTTAATATATATAAATTATATAACGTATCATATATATATATATATATATATATATATATATATATATATATTGAGAGGTTGAATAATTTATATATATTCTATACTTATATATATATATATATATATATATATAGGGTGTTTCAAAAAATTTGATATCCTTTGAGATGTAAATATCACAGAAAGTACATGATTAAGGCAAATGAAATTAAAAAAGTATTAATGTTGAAGATCATAAGATTTATTCTTCCAAATCTGAATGAGAAATTCAAAAAGCATGTGGATTATGTGAACGATTTCACAAATGTGAAGTTTGTGGTCGTCCGGATTTTTTCCTGCAAAGACAAACTTCCTCTTTGAACTTTTATGCCATCTCCAAATCTGCATTCCTGTTGGTGACTTTCTAGAGAAAACTCTCAAAATGCACGCTGCACAGTCTTGTTTGACTGTGTTCTAACAAACTCAACACACAAAACGCCTTTTCTCTTCTAGTAAATAGCATTTTTATACCTGTAAAGAAAAAGATTAAAGATTAAAGAACATAAAAATACAAATAAGAAAAACAAAAAACATAAAACATAAAAAACATAAAACAAACATTAAACATAAAGATGCTATTAAAATTTGAAGTCATTTGAAGGAGATCTAACAAAGTTATTAGATTGCGAAATGATATCAAATTTTTTTCAACACCTTATATATATATATATATATATATATATATATATATATATATATATATATTATTGAGTCGTTGAAATTTCAACTAAAGAAAAACTGTCTGGTCAATGAATGCCGAATGTTTCCTTGTAAGTAAACGGCAAATATTCCCATTACTAGTTGGTTATTGCTATCAATCATGGTAAAATCCGTGGTAAAAATTTATGTATGCATGTGTGTTTAGAAGTTATACTTAAGTATTTAAAAATAGATTTTGAACATATTTAACACGGAAAGATGCAATGTTTTTACTTACCAGTTACACGGGGTAGACAATTAAAGTGAGTAACGCTTTAAATCATAAAGGCGACATACGTTAAAACATAAAGGCGACACACGTTGAGACATAAAGGCGACTCGTTAAAACATAAAGGCGACTCATTAAAACATAAAGGCGAAACACGTTACAATATAAAGGCGACTCGTTAAAATATAAAGGCGACACACGTTAAAACATAAAGGTGACACACGTTAAAACATAAAGGGGGCACGCGTTAAAATACAAAGGCGACAGACGTTAAAGCATAAAAACGACTCGTTAAAACATAAAAGCGACACACATTAAAACATAAAGGGGACACACGTTAAAATATTAAGGCGACTCGTTAAAGCGTAAAGGTGACGCACGTTAAAATATAAAGGCGACACACGTTAGATCATAAAGGCGACACACGTTAAGACATATTGGTATTGGCGGAGGTCTCTGGAAAACACAGATTTTTTTTTTTTTGAATATAGGAAAATTGTGTGTGGGTGATTTTTTTTAACATTTTTCTTTTTTTTATCATTTTTCGATTCATGTCGTTTTGGAGAAGAAACGGCGAAACTAGTTTGTTCACATAGCACCCAAAAGAAATCAAATAATAATAATAATAATAATAAGGCATTTCTCTGAGGAAGGCCATGACGAAGATACAAGATTCTAAATGTAATGACAGAAGAAAGACGGGACAAATTTATTTTGTATTTGAAAATAAAGAGAACAGACGACAAAGCAAAAAGGAAGAAAAAGGTGTAATAGAATTAAGTCACAAAAGGCAAAAAAGAGTAATAATTTCGAATATCAAAAAGCAGGGAATATTCTTTTTTTTAGTTTCCATTTTTTTGTACTGTATTTTTTAAAGTGTGTTTTTATTTGAATATTGCTTATAGCTTTATTTATTTATTTATTGGCTCTAGTAATTTTCTGTTTTGCATGTTTGAAAGAATGTGAAAGATAACGAATTTTTGTCGTGTCTTTTTTAAAGGTTCTCCGAACAAAAATACAAGAGATAAGGACCAATTTGTTTATTTAATTTCAAGTCTTTTTTAATATATATATATATATATATATATATATATATATATATATATATATATATATATGTTCATGTAAAGTTTTATTGCTTTATTCTTCTTTCTTCCTTCAACCCTTTTTGTTTCTTTGTACATTACTTTTTTATTGTCTTATCTTACCTTTTTTTAATCGTCTTTTTTTTTCTCTTCTTTCGTTGCTCATTTAAACCACATTGTCATTCTTCCTTTTATTGTTCATCCGGGTTTTCCTAACGTATATTTTTTTTCCTTCTTTTCTTTCTTTCTTTATTTATTTATTTACTTACTCTATCAATACTTTGCTAATGATCTTTTTTTATTATTTTACGTATTTCGTATTTCGTTTCGATTATTTTTCTTACCACCCATTCTTTTTCTATTGTACCATTATTTTTTTTTTCTTCGTTTTCTCTCTCTTTGTTTCTCTCTTTCTTCTTTTTATTTTTCTTTCTTTTCCTTTCTTTTTCGAAGTTCTCTTTCCAATTTCAATGTACTTTTTTTCCTTCATTGTTTTCTCTCTGATTTTTCCTTCTTTCTTTTTCTTTCTTTCCTTTTCTTTTACTATCTTCCTTTTCCAATTACAATGTACTCTTATTATTTCTTTTTTTCCTTCAATTATTGCTCGCTCTTTTAATATTTCTATTCTTTCTTTTTCTTTCTTTTGCTTTCTTTTTCTATCTTCTCTTTCCAATTTCAGTATTCTTTCATTATTTCTTTTTTTTTTCTTCGTTTTTTTCTTTCTTTCTCTCTCTGTTTCGTTCTTTCTTTTGCTTTCTTTTTCTTTCTTTTGCTTTCTTTTTCTATCTTCTCTTTACAATTTCAATGTACATTAATTATTTCATTTTTTTCTTCCGTTGTTTCCTCTCTCTCTATTTTCTTTTTTTCTCTTTCTTTCTTTCTTTCTTTATTTATTTTTTCTTTTCCATTCGTTTCCTGTCCTCCCTTTCTATTTTTATTTTACGTTTATTATTTATTTATTGCATATTTTGTATCTTTCTTTTATTTTTCTTTCTTTCGTTCATTCTTTCTGTCTTTCTTTCTGTATATCATTCTTTGGTTTCATTTTTCTTTCTTTCGGTTTCGATTTGTTCCGCATTTATTTCTTTGTTTTATTTTCCACGTTTTTCGATTTTGTTCTTTCATTTTTCCTTTGTTTATTACTTTTTTATTTCTGTATTTGTTTCTTTTCCTTTTGAGTTCTTTGTCTTCTCTATCTTTTTTTCTTTCTTTCTCTCTTTATTTTTCTTTCGTTCTTTCTTTCTTGTTGAAATTTCTATTCGCCTTTCTTTATTTCATTCATTGTTTAGTGTTTATTCGTTACTGTTTCTTTCTTTTGCGGGCATTGATCTTTCTTTCTTTCATTCTTTCTTTCTTTCATTCCTTCTTTCTTTCATTCTTGTTTTCTTTCTTTTTTCTTTCTTTCTTTTTCTTAATTCCTTTTTTTCTTACGTTCTCTCTATGTGGGCTTGTTCTTTGTTTTTTCTGTCTTTTTTTCTTTTTCTTTCTTTCTTTTTCTTTCTTTCTTTTTATTTCTTTCTTACTTTTTTTTGTTTACTTTTTCAATTCTTATTTTTTTCTTTTTTTTTCTTTCTTTTAAAACAATTACTTTCCGTTTCTTTTTTTTTTTTTTTTCATCTTTTCTTTTTTTTTTTTTTTTCCTTCTTTCTTTTAAATTTTTTTTCCTTCTTTCTTGATTCATGGATGTATAATACATAGATATAGAAATACATAGATATTTCATATATACATATATATATATATATATATATATATATATATATATATATATATGAATGGACTTAGACCATTTCCATCCAAAAATAGAACCCAGTCTGTCCTGCTGGAGCTGCTGAGGGAGAAGAAAAGTTTCATACCTTTCCCAAGGGTATTCCGCGTAAAGTCAATGTAATGGATTCGATTGAAATTTCGATCCCTCAATCCAAGTTTAATTCCATTACTCCAACGTGCCTATAATATATATATATATATATATATATATATATTTAAAAAAATGTGTGTTTTCGCGCGATTGTGTGGAAAAAGAAATTTTTGGAATCAAAAGGATTTTTCATCTCCACAATTATATTCAATTATGTACTATTAACCTCACGAAAGGTATGAATCCATTTCTTCTTATAAATAGCATATTTTTACCCAGTTCTATAGCCTTTTTTGCAACCGGTTTAATAGAAAGAAAATATTGTACTTCTAACTTATACCTCTTTTCAAATATGTGTAAATTTATATGCAGGTCACTAGGGGAGCCATAAACGTCGCACACGTAGTTTTACAAACATATATATATATATATATATATATATATATATATATATATATTTTATAACCTATGAAAACTAATGGCTATGTCCCAATCTTCATAAATACGTTGGACACTATTGTAACTGGGGGTATATATTTTTCTTTTTAAATAGTCCACAACCAGCAGTGGCTTACCTACTTCACGCCGCTGACGAGTATTTTATTTTGTTGATGTTATAAAGATTACCATTTTATTTCAAACCCCACTTTTTGTTTTGACTTTTTGTACAATAATTGGTTTCCTGTATCGATGAAAATAATGACTATTTTTTTTTTAAATATGTCACCTCTAACACGAAATTTCTAAAATCGTATAAAAGTATAGTAGTACTATGACATCTAGAATTATCTGGAACCCTGTAGAACTTCCAGGTGCTTTCGAGGACTTTATGCTACCTTCTAGAACTATATGGACCCTTCTAGAACTTTTGGGCGCCTTCTGGAATTTTATGGAACTTGCTGGGATTTCCTGGAAATTTATGCCTTGTATTTTGTGGTAATATATAAAATAAATCAGGTTGTTATTTAGATAAGGCTAATGCTAAAACAGCGTTATGTTTGTTTTTTATTTCAGAGTATATAAGCTTCCTGATTGAGCAACGATGATTGGTTTGCTGAGAGATCGCCTAGTCGTCATTTTTAGCCATAATATCTCATAAAAAAGTGCTTCTGCCATTGAAAGAAACAAGAACATCTGGACAAAGAATCTCATAAAATTCCAAGAATAATATAAAAGAAGAATCACTGTTCCACTAGAAGAAGAATCATTGGGAAACAAAAGCAGGATGCCATTCAAAATCCAAATTAATGGTCGCCGTTTCTTTGGAAGGAAATAATGTATAGAGAAAATCGGTAAAGAAGAAAACAGTTTATGGCAAAAGAAATTCAGTTTCCCAAATTTATCAACTCAAGTCATACAAGTAAAACTGGGTCAATTGTTGAATACTTACGATGAATGTTTGAAATGAGGAAAATATGATCCAGTGAATGGAATTTTTGGCATCACAAAAGAAGATATTGCATGGCAGTGTAGTAGTTTAGGATAGATGGTTATATCATCTTCAGATCGATAGCAAAGGACATCTTGGATATACAGTTGGAAAGACTGCGAGTTCTAAAACTTTCAATCCAAAAGAAAAAAATGATCTTGGAGCGAACTTCAGCAACATTAACATCAGCAGCAACTTCAGCTTTCAAATCAGAGACTGAATCAGTGACCCAATCAGCGATTGAATAAAAAAAAATTCCGAAAGTTCTGAAGAACAATCCACAAGAAAAAGGATGAAGTATAGCAAAACCAAAACTGTAACGAAATTAGAAACATCTTCAAAAATATCAACCGCCAAAGCAACGAATATTTGTCAGCATTTATCTCAAGAGAGGATTGATATTGAAACACATTCTCAACCTGGTATTTACAGATCCACTATTAAAGAAACTGTTATACGTAAAGAAGAAATGAAGAAAATAAAACTCTTAGATAATCGGTCATTGAATTTTGATAAATGAACGAAGTGTTTTGGCCTTTTGTATCAAGTCCTTGAAGAATGAATGAAAAAAGAGAAATTAAGATGGACGCATTTTAACTACCAAATTGAAGAGTAGATACTATTGTCAAAGGATTAACTATTATTCTAGATGAATACTATTTATGAAAGACCATAAAAAAGGTGATTGTTGTGGACAATACGAATGCAAACACTGGAAGTAGGAATGGGTAAATTGTAATTCAGTTACAAAAAATTATTTGCAATTTAAATAAACTGGAAGAACCAAAATTTATTGGCTGTCAACATCATAATTTCTTGATCGAGTGCTTTGCTAGCAATAGGTGATGAACATGCAGGAAAAAACATCGCACTATATTGAATATCCGTTTTATCCATGAACTTGTTTTAACTACGAACATCTCAAGAAAATTTCAAGAATGATTTTTTTCTATTACTGAAAGAGTCAGGAGGGCGTTATGATATTAAATTTTTATTTTTTTAAATAGTGTTGTCCGCTTTTTTCGAAGAACCTGGAAGATTTCCTAATTATGAAATTTCAAAAATACCCAATTTAATTAATGCAAGCTGGCATTTTAGAACAATATTAGCTCTTTGGGCATTTATTTTTCTACCAGAGAAAAAGTGACTCAGTGTAGATTCACCTCTTACACATTTGTCCAAGCCATTGGTTTAATGACCAAATTTTTTTTTACAAATTGTCAGTGAATATCATTTGACGATGTAGCATTTTGAAGTCTCAGAAAATCGAATGTGACCCTCTAGATTTATGAATATATATTTTTTTCGCCAGGTGTATAAATAGCGGTGTAAGGTTACTGACTGCAGTGATTATTAAGTGTTTATTGAGTGACTTATTTGTGGAACGATCCAGTCAAATTAGTGTGAATTATTGTGTCATTGATTTGGATTTTGATTTAGGATCGTCAACAGGAGTTTTTTTTTGTAAAACAAAATTTGTTATCTTCATCTGAAAGTTAAATTTTTTTTAACTGTGAAGTGGAAATGCTAAGGTTATGTACTGTATGGTTTAAAATTTAATTTTCAGATGAAGACAACAATTCTGTTTTAGGAAAAATCAAGACCCAGATGATGACATTGTGCTAATGACGAAAGTACTCGGAATAAATGAATATGTATCAACATGGTAATTTTCTCTCTCTTCTTTAATAAATTTATGTCCATTAATATAAGATGATCGTATTGAAAATAAATAGACAAAACTTGTCTAAATTATTCAGTGAGATTTATATTAAAAGTTAAAATATATATTAATATATATATATATATATATATATATATATATATATATATATATATATTTTATATATATATGAAAAAAATATATAAAAAAAACAACAAAATCCTAATATGCAATTATGCTGTTTTAATGTTAATATAATGTCAATGTCAATTCAGTTTGATTGGTCTTGCTTTTATGTCCATCGTCTTTTTTCATGTTGAATTGAATATGGTCTAATGTTAATTATGTTTTATGAATATGTCCTGAAGATGGTCTACTAGACCGAAACGTCCGACGTTGACATTATATTAACATTAAAACAGCATAATTGCATATTAGGATTTTTGTTTGTTTTTCCGTATATTTTTCTTCATACTGTCGGATCTATATCCATATATTGCTTATATATATATATATATATATATATATATATATATATATATATATATATGTGTGTGTGTGTATGTTTCATCCATATCTTGTTTCGCTGTATCATAGCTTATCATTATGGCTAGACATCCGATTGCTTAAGTCGGGATCGAAACTCGATCGATATGGCATCAGTGGGAGTTTCTATTCCTGAGCTATCAGCGCACGGCAGAGGGAAAGGGAAATTCTAGCGTATTAATCTTAAATCGAATGTAAACAAACGATAGGCAGCCATACTGCTCGATTCATTTTAATGAAGAGATTGCAATGTTTATAGAGAAAGAGTGCTCAGTGGGACATAGTGGGCTTTTGTAAATATAAAAAGTGTGTGTATAGAAAGCATGACTTAATGATCGCTTTAGACGAGAGACAGTAACCATGTAGTATAGATACCTATGTCCAAAATCTATATATCTTATTCTTTTCTTATCTATTTATCTACATAACTATCTAAGTCATTCTGTTGATCTATCTATCTATCTATCTATCTATCTATCTATCTATCTCTTTTAATTCTATCTATTTGCCTATCTATCTACTCACTTTATTCTATCTATCTATCTATCTATCTATCTATCTATCTATCTATCTATCTATCTCATTCTGTTCCTATCTATTTACATACCTATCTTACTTGAAATTCTGGAATATTTTATATATATATATATATATATATATATATATATATATATATATATATATATTTATCAATCAATCTATCTTAGTCTTTTCATTCTATTTATCTATCTAGTAACTTTATTCTATCTGTCTATCTGTGTACTTAATCTCTTCACTCTATCTATTTATCTATCCATCTATCTAGTCACTTTATTCTATCTATCTATCTATCTATCTATATATCTATCTATCTATCTCTCTATATATATATATATATATTAGGCTTTTCATTCTATACATCTTTCTAGTCACTTTATTCTGTCTATTTATCTATCTATTTTTTAAACTCTTCATTCTATCTATCTATCTATCTATTTACTTAATTTCTTCATTCTATCTATTTATCTATTTTCATTTATATTTTTATTATATATATATATATATATATATATATATATGCATTACCGCCCTTCACTTCTTGTGTGTTTTTAATAGAATACAAAATCTTCTATACTGTCTTGTGGGTGATTAATTATTTTCTGCTATACTTACCCCACCCTAAAAGGAACTTCCTACAGACGAAACTCTTCTAGAAGTTCACTAATCTATTGCTATTCCAATAGCAACTGTCCAGACTTGCTACAGTCCATCGTTCTAACAATTCAGACATTCACAACTGGTTACCGGCCATGCCTGGTGCACGGGATCAACGGGATTATATATTTTTCAACTCGACGCAATCGTCAGGCCACGATTGCATCAAGCGTGAAACAGCCTGTCGCTTCTAAGTGTTGACTTCAATGTTCACTTTTATATTAACTCGCGCTCTAACGCGGATATTGAGCACTTTAATCCCATAAATATAGTACACATTAAGATTATATTTCTTCATATATACATATATATATATATATATATATATATATATATATATATATATGTGTGTGTGTGTGTGTGTGTGTGTGTGTGTGTGTATAAAAAATAGGAAAGAACACGTTAGGTTAATAATCCGATGTTCTTTTTTAGTTTTGTATTAATTTTAAAAAAAACAGTGCTCAATACATAAGTTGAGCCTAAATTATATCATTATACACACACATACAACACACATACATATATATATATTATTACTTTGGAAGTAAAGGAATTTGTCGGCTGCTAACAATTAACGTTAAAACTCTTCGCTAAATTTTAGCCAATAATGCTTATATCTCGTATATAAGGTGTTAAAAATTCCCTTTCTCTACTGCGTGAGCTGAGTGCCTAAGTGTGAGAGTCTTCACTGTTGCCACATCGGTCGCGGTTTCGATCCTGGCTTTGTTTGTCTGTGCATGACTATATATATATATATATATATATAAATAAATATATGTGTGTGTGTGTGTGTGTGTGTGTGTGTGTAACGTCGTCTCCCGGTCGCAGCGCCAACCGTGACGTTCTATCCTGATCTACCACGGCGCCAGTTGTGACGTCCCCAGGGTAAACCCGGTCACCACACCTGATGTGACGTCCCTCGCACCAATTGTGACGTCTTCGCCGCGGCGCCAGCTGTTCGCTCCTCGCTGCTCCAAGCGTGACGTTCTAACCCTTTGGTGATTCGGGTAGGAATCTGGTTAGATTTGATATCAGCCTCGCCGTTCCCAACCTGCTTCCAACGCCTGGTTACCAGGGTAACTGCACTGATCTCCAGTCTGCCTACCCACGTTGTGAATTGATCTTAGACAGACGAGATCAAACAGAGGTTGGGGCCGTAATGCAAGCTGAGTCCAACGGGGGTGATAACACACAAATATGTATAAAAAAAAAAATAAAATGAAAACTCACAAAGTTCAAAGTATCAAAGAAAAAAAGTAACAAACTTTTTATGTCTATTTGTTCGGTACATAGGACTGTGTCTACTTCCCGACCCGTTCTGTGGATTGTGGCACGACGCTTTCGCTAGGCAAATTTTAACGCTTCAAGTTGTCTACTCTCTAAGAAATTTGCGTTTCGGTGTGTCTTTGGACGAAAGTCGAAAAACTTATTTCTGTGGTCTGGTTCTAAGTCGCTCTTCAAACTACTTGTTCTTGGTTGAAGAAGAGTCCAAAATTTGCGTGAATCTTGGTCAGCTATCTTGAGGCGGTTTCAACACTGGGCGCTCATCTGCTGTCTGCGCGAACTCGTCACTACAGGGGAACTCAACGAACTTTTCTCTGCCCGCCTGCGATCTGGGCACTCTCTCTGCCGTCCGGGGCTGAACTCGGCACTCAGGGCCAAACTCTTCTCTCCAGAGTCTGAATTACTGGGCACTCATCTCTGCCGTCCGGTGCTGAACTAACTCTCTTGCCAGAGTCCGACGAACTTCTTCTCGCTCAGGGTCGAACTTCTTCGGCACTCAGGGCCAAACGAACTGGCCTCTTCTGCCCGCTTTGGGGCGAACGAACTTCTTCTCTTCAGCTTTTTCCGTAACGAACTCGGCACTCAGGGCCAAACGAACTGGCCTCTTCTGCCCGCTTGGGGCGAACGAAACCCTCCGAAACGAACTGGCCTCTTCCGCCCGCTTGGGGCTTCTTTCGAACTGATTTCTGTCTGGTGGGGCTTCGTTTTTTGACGCCGTCAAAACTGGGGTGGGTCTGTCGGCGCCAGGGGTTCTTCGATAATTCTAAATACGTATCCACCCTTCTTATTTCTGGTTAGGGATTTTCCACTCTTTTCCATTTTTGGTAACTCTTTTCTCACTCCCACTTTCTCTTACCATGCTTCTGAGGGGCGTGAACTGCCCTCCCACTTCTTCGTATCGGCTTCTCATACTTATACTCTGGATAGGGGCGTCGACTGATTTTCTTCGTGCGTCACGTGACCACTCTCGGCCAATGAGGTCCTGGTCGGGTATCTTTCCTCCTCCTTCGTGCGTCATGTGATCCACTTGGCCAATGACGTCTTAGTCGGGCGTGAACAACCCGTGGCTTTGTTTTGGAAAAAAATACCTTGCTTAACTAAAAAAAAAAATTAATTAAATCGCCCTTATCATGAGCGGATAATATGACAACTCTTTGTTTTTTAACACGTGGCGTTTGTCAAGCAGTTTATCGCCAATTCAATGGACAGCTGGATTATCTGACATGGTCTAAGAAAGGAATTTTCTCCAAGTTTGTCGCGTCTCTCCCAAAGCAAAAAAAAAATATTTCATTTTCCTTCGGTTCATGTGTTGATAACAAAATTTTTATTATCGCAGGGCAAAAATCTATTCTGTCAAAAAAAAAAAAACTAGCCAGTGAAAACTACTTGTGTGGGATTTTAATTTTCCATATTCCAAGCCAAGACTGTCTGTGTTTTCGTCAATTATCAAAACCTAACGTTCAAAAATGGATTTCTTCTTTTGGTGACATCTCTTGATAACACAATTCCATTTTTCGCGGATAAGCGGAAATCGGTCAACGCTTGTTCGTTTGACCTAGATATTTTCCGTACCTAATCTATTTTCGACATTTGATTTTCGATCTATCAAAAATAACCCTTTTCTTCCTTATTTTTCCCGTCTCTTAAGCCGTGTGTGTGTGTGTTCGCCTATGACCCGTCTCGTATTACTTTTTCTTTCTTTCTTCTTCGTTTTCTTTTCTTTCTTCCAAATCGCCTGAATGCAAAGCGGTTCAATCCTCTAGAAAAAAAAAAAAAGAATTATTCTTAAAACCTAAAATATTTTTCGGCCTTAAATAATCCTCAAATGGTTGATAAACCGTAAAAAAAAAATCATATATCTATAAATATTTCTTTCAAATCGTCAGGATGCATGGTGCCACACACACACACACACACACACACACACAAAATGAATTGACATCATATATATATATATATATATATATATATATATATATATATTTTATCAATTCTCTTAAATTTGAAAAAAATAATATTTTAAAATAATCATCCAAAGTATTATAGATAATAATTTTATGTAATTCTTTTTAATGGGGAATATAATTCAAAACAGATCAATAAATTATTTTGATTTTTTAAACAATTCTCTGAATAACGCAAACCTTAAAATTTTAAAATTTATGAGATGCGATTGGATTTCTTTACAAGTAGTTTCAAAAGAAATTCAAATATTCATCGTCAGATTTTGTTAGTAAAAAAATATTTTTATATCTGTTGTAGAAGTGAATTTTGAAATTTATTACTATTGTTTTTTTTAAAATTTAATTAAATTTTGATTCCATTTCATTATTTTAAATTTAAATAAAATTTTAATATATATATTTTTCAATTTTTCAGAATATTTGTTTGTTTTTTTAAATTTTTTTTTTTTCAACATAAATTCCCTTATCTTAATTCCAAATATATATATGAAATATATATATATATATATATATATTATATATTATATATAAATTGTCGATATATATATATATTTATTGTATATATATATATATCTCATATATATATATAATTTATATATATATCATATGTTCAACATTGAATTTAACTTAGATATATTATAATTTAAATAAAATGAAATTTGGGTACTTTTTATAATAGAAATGGTTTAAAAAGGAATAATTGAAAATTGAATATATACGAATTGTATAATAATATATTTATATATATATTTATATATATATATATATATTTATAAAATATTATTATTATATTATTTTATATATATATATATATATGTATATATATATAATATAAAATATATTTATATATTTAAAAATTTATTATAATATACTTTCAAACTTTTTGTTAAAATTGTTTTTCATTATCTTTTTTTAATATTTTTTAATTAATGTCGATATATTTTAATATATATATATATATATATAATTTACAATATCAGAAATTCATCATTCAAATTCAAATAGCCTTCAAGCATGAAACGGACTGTCACCGATCGCTCACCTCACTGTCCATCTCTTTCTCATTTTCCCTTTTCTTTCTCTATTTATATATATATTCAATATATAAATATATATATATATATATATATTTATATATATATAAATTTATCAAAAAGAATAATTATCTACAACCAAGGTTTCAAAATCGGATCCACTTCTGCCAGGCTCTATAATAATTTATGGAGCATTTTATGTTTTTTCTCATTATACACGAGTTTTTTGGGTTTTTTTTTTTTTTTTTTTTTGGCCAGATTTTTCCTCAGAAACCTGTTTGTTTAAAAATAATTTTATCTGGAAATTTTACTACCCGGCTTCTTTTTTTTTTTTACCATTCATTAATTTCGAGTATTTAATAAACATAATAATTTATTTTAACTATATTTAAACTGCGCATTGGAA